CATAACAAGAGAGAAAGAGAGAGAGAGAGACAGTGAGGAAAAGATAAACGGAATTGTAGTAAGTAAAAAGCATCTTTGTCTTAGTTAATCACATAGAAAGACAGAAAACACCTGCAAAATTTTCTTTTTTTACGATTATATAAGACGGTTTACATATTTTTGTATCTTCCTTTATTCCTTTGCCTTTCATTTTAAGTCTTTATACCTTCATTAGTTATTCTTAAGTTGTTCAATATTGCTCACTCTCTATTGGCTATAATTTTATGAAGACTGCAGGAGTAAATGATCATGATTGCACATTGTAAGGTTAATGGTTGCAGCTGCTTTTTCAGAAATAGGTGTATTTTTGTATGCTTCAGGAGACCATGCACATTAATAGAGGTACAAACTAGGATTTTATCTCAAACGAAGCCTACCGCTAAAACTGAAGTCACATATTCCCATTTTACGAAACAGAAATACAACACCGAGAAACTTTTCATGATCAATGTTACCGCGATCATTGCACAGAGAGGAAAATGGACACCACCGTCCTATAGAGTATAAGAAAGAGAGTCACAAAACAGGTATAGCTGCTGCAGCCATAGCAGAGCCAGAGTTCTTAATGTTGCATTTTCTATACAAAGTTGTTGTGGCAGTTGGCATAAAGGGCCCTTTGATTTCCTCCCACATCAGTAAGGACAGCTGGTAATAAAGACATAGTGAAGGTGTAAACTGAAAAATGCAAGGATTTTCCCAAACTACACCCTACCAGCACGACAGGAAATTGTTGCAAGATCGGAGAAAAATCATATTGAAGAGTAGTAGATGACATATGTAAGGGGAAGATAGATTAGAATTGTACTTCAAGGTGATGTGATGATAAACACTGATACTAGGTCTCATAGAGTGAATTAGAATTGTAATAGATAATCACATGACCTAGGGGAAAGCATTTGAAAATCAGATAGTCTTATCATGACTATACAGTATAGAGGATGTCAGGAAGGTATTGCTATCTCTGAAGTAGGTTTAGAAGCCAGAGCTCCCAATTCATTTGAAATATCACTCTGGCTATATTACTGATTGGTTTACCTCAGTCTTTTGTCGCTGTCCCACAATGTCTGTAAGTTTTTTTAGGAAATTATCATAAGGTCTCTCGAAAATCACTGGCCTGCACTGCTTATCTTATTGTTGTGTTTTGTTGCTTGTGTAGGGACGTAATTAAAGAGAAAAAGTAAGTAAAATGGGTAAATTGCACCTGAAAAGCCAGGAAAGTAATTAAAAAGTGAAACAAAATGAAAATGAAGTCTGCTTTGCCTCAAGACTGCACACCATATTTTGTATTTACAAAATATGAAATGGGTTGTGTCTGAATGTTGTAACGCCAGTGTCTTATCAAGCTAGGGAATTCCAGTTATAGCATTTCTGATTGAATATTTCACAGTTTTCACAAACCAGAAAACAGACATATAGTTTGTTAGGTTAATCTTTACTGTATAGATGCATTAAGGTAGGGCAAATTGTAAAAGATATTCTTGTAGAGGACTAAAAGTTGGTAGTTGTCAGTACAAGAAATAGTCAGCAAACATTAATGGGAAGAAATTACAGAGAGTGTCACGCATGCAGAAAGAGGTGAAGACAGTGTGGTGCTGGTGGGCAGATCCCCCTAGGGCAGTGCCTAAAGGGCACACCCAGTCAGGGCAACTTAGATTGTTAAATGAATTTATTGTCTTGAAAGTGTGTTCGTACAGTTAAGTATTCCCATTTATTATTCCATTCTTAACCCACAGGATGGGGATGACATGGATGTACATATTCTTGCAGTAATTAGCAATTGTGTTTATACATAGATGTTTCCACAAGTACATAGTTACCAAAATGGCAATTACTAATCCTACCTATCTCACATGTGTACCCTTTTTAGGGATTTTTTGGAAATATTTTTGAATTAGTTGTTGCTGTCAGTATTGTTAATGATATTATAATAATCATAATGTAATATTGATGATAATGATAATGATAATAATAATAATAATAATAATAATAATAATAATAATAATAATGATAATAATGATAATAATGATAATAATGATAATAATGATAATAGTGATAATAATATTGATATTAATAGCATTAAAAATATAGCTATATTTTTCCTAAAGACCCAAGGAAAAGGAAAATCAGGTGAGGTAATGCTGGCCTACTTACTTAATCCTTGGTAGCTGAGTACTTATGGGGCCATCTATGTGTAAAGACCATTAAAAAAATAACACTGAGGTTTCCATTAAAGGACAGCTATTACTATTATTGTTATTATTATTACATTTTTTATGTTTGTTTATTTGTTTGCTTGTTCATTCTATCCCTCTTGAGATGTGCCTGTATCCATTGCAGATCAGTGGAAGCTCTTCTAGGCCTCACAGTCAGGAGCAGCTCACACACAATGGACATTCCTCTGCCAGAAGAGATCCCTTTGCCGGGGGTTGTTCCTGGCAGTATGCCGAACATGAACCGTGCTCCCCCACACCCCAGAGGCCCTGGTCTGCTCTCCACACCCACTCGGCCACCTCCCCACATCATCCTTCCCCCAGGACCTCCGCCTGACATGTCCGTTCCTCCTCCAAACTTCAGTGTGCCTCCCCCATTCATGTCAACGCCACCGCCACGCCTTCCCAGGCCTTCTAATGTGACCCCAAAGAAGCTAGGGGAATCTACCGGCAAAGGAGAGAGGTACGTCATTTGGGTTTGTCAATTCAAATACCATTGTGACATTGAGGTTGGGATATAATGGTTGATGTTTCTGGTATGCATGCATGCGCGCTTGCGCGCGCGCGCACGCACACACGCACACACGCACACACGCACACACGCACACACGCACACACGCACACACACACACACACACACACACACACACACACACACACACACACACACACACACACACAATGCCTATATTTGTCAGAAAACTCTTTAGAATGTTTTCATGAAATAATGTAAAACCTGACAATTCTCATCTTATTTACAGATACTCACCAAGTAGAGTAACAGTTGATGACGAAGAGAAAGATAGTTCACCGGCAACCACCACATCAACCAACACAACTGTGACATCATCGCCAGCCTCTGATTCCTCAGGGACATCAAAGATAGGAGTGAAGACAAATTTACCCAAATTATTAGGGAAGGATGCAGCCAAAAAGAGACTTCTTGCATTCTCGGGAAAGGGACTGAAAGTTTCCTCATTTTCACTATCAAAAACAGTAAAGCCAGCCGTTAAGTCTGCTCTAGGGGAAGAAGATGATGCAGGGGACAAGAAGGATAAGAAAACAGCAGTACAAGTGAAGAAAAAGAAGAAGGAGAAGGTGTCTAGTATAGAGCAAATTAGGGACGAGGAATCGAGACTCCGAGAAGCTTTAGGGTTGAAAAATGTGTTGTTCAATCCGTATGGGCCTGGGTTGGGTACCATAGCCAGGCTGTTAGACAATCCTGAAGGGTTGAAAAGATTTGAGGACAAAGGCAAGACAGCGAAGATCAAACTGGAAGAATATGAAGCTAGACAAAGTGAAAAGCAAAAAGACAGAGAGAAAGCACTAGGGAACAGAAGAAAAGAGAAAGAGAAGTCCTCAGACAATGATAAAGAGAAAGGTAGAGGCAAAGATGGAGACCGAGAGAAAGACAAATCAAAAGGGAGAGACAGTGATAGGGAGAAGGACAAAGTGAAGGGTAAAGAAGGGGATCGTGACAAAGAAGTAGACAAGGATAGGAAATTGGAGCAAAAGTCTGATAGTGGCAAAGAGGACAAGTTAGATTCTGGAAGCCAGAAGGAGGAAGCAAAGAAAAGACCTAAAAGAGTGCCAAAGACATGGAGTGAATTCAAATCTGAGAACTTTGGCTTTGACCTCCTGAGACAAATCAGAAGAGAACAGCTTAGGAGACGCAGCAGATCAAGGAGTCGAGACAGGGACAGGAGGAGGTGGAGTCGCAGCACCAGCCGGGATAGAGGTAGAAGTAGCAAACACCAGGAGAAAGGGCCATTCTTAGAGGAATCAAAATTGTTATATACACTCAGAGCCAAGGGTTTGAATGGTCTAGATAAAGAGTACCAAGGCCATATGGTACAATACACTGTAACTAAACCATCTCTGTCATATTGCATCAATCCTTATAGATTCAAAGCACATTTTCTGACCCGGCTGGAAGTCAAGAGAAGAGAATCATCTGAGACTTGGGAGATCTTTGAGAATTTTTTGGAAATGGAATCACAGTTTGAAAGGGAAAATGTATCTCATGAAAATGAATCCATCCCGGTCCTGGTATCCCAAATGCTGGGAGTTGGAGGTTCAAGAGAAAGTCAAAGAAACCGTGGAGGAGCAAGTACAAGAAGTTGCAATAGCTGCCACAAAGTCTCGCTGGGACTCAGACAATGAGGAAGGAGAGGAAGGCCAGCCAGCCCTAGAATGGAAGGAAAGTGTGGAGGAAAAGGTCCTGGAGTCTAATACAACAGCTCTCTGTGAAGACAAAGATGAGAGTTTGTCATCAGAGGTGTGTGGTGCTGATGAAAAAGTAGGGGAGCAAGCACAAGACCCGTGTACAATGCCCTTCTCAGTAGGGCTGAATGAAGAATATGAAGCATTTATGCAGATGTTGGATGGCAATGCTGTGTCCAAAGGGGATGGCAAAGTGGAAGACAAACTTCCTGTTGCTGATATCAAGGTTGAGGATGGTATTGACTCAACAACTGAGGTTAAGGAAAAAGTCAAGGCCAGGTCCAAGGAAGAAGTACCAGTAGAACCCAGTTTTGGTAATCAAACAAGTACTGGTATAAAACAAGAAGTACTTTCAGAGGTGGATTTAGATTCTGATGAAAAACAAGATAAAAGTTCAGATGAGGAAGAGGATACCAAGAAGACAGTACCGAGAGAAAGACAAATCAAAAGGGAGAGACAGTGATAGGGAGAAGGACAAAGTGAAGGGTAAAGAAGGGGATCGTGACAAAGAAGTAGACAAGGATAGGAAATTGGAGCAAAAGTCTGATAGTGGCAAAGAGGACAAGTTAGATTCTGGAAGCCAGAAGGAGGAAGCAAAGAAAAGACCTAAAAGAGTGCCAAAGACATGGAGTGAATTCAAATCTGAGAACTTTGGCTTTGACCTCCTGAGGCAAATCAGAAGAGAACAGCTTAGGAGACGCAGCAGATCAAGGAGTCGAGACAGGGACAGGAGGAGGTGGAGTCGCAGCACCAGCCGGGATAGAGGTAGAAGTAGCAAACACCAGGAGAAAGGGCCATTCTTAGAGGAATCAAAATTGTTATATACACTCAGAGCCAAGGGTTTGAATGGTCTAGATAAAGAGTACCAAGGCCATATGGTACAATACACTGTAACTAAACCATCTCTGTCATATTGCATCAATCCTTATAGATTCAAAGCACATTTTCTGACCCGGCTGGAAGTCAAGAGAAGAGAATCATCTGAGACTTGGGAGATCTTTGAGAATTTTTTGGAAATGGAATCACAGTTTGAAAGGGAAAATGTATCTCATGAAAATGAACCATCCCGGTCCTGGTATCCCAAATGCTGGGAGTTGGAGGTTCAAGAGAAAGTCAAAGAAACCGTGGAGGAGCAAGTACAAGAAGTTGCAATAGCTGCCACAAAGTCTCGCTGGGACTCAGACAATGAGGAAGGAGAGGAAGGCCAGCCAGCCCTAGAATGGAAGGAAAGTGTGGAGGAAAAGGTCCTGGAGTCTAATACAACAGCTCTCTGTGAAGACAAAGATGAGAGTTTGTCATCAGAGGTGTGTGGTGCTGATGAAAAAGTAGGGGAGCAAGCACAAGACCCGTGTACAATGCCCTTCTCAGTAGGGCTGAATGAAGAATATGAAGCATTTATGCAGATGTTGGATGGCAATGCTGTGTCCAAAGGGGATGGCAAAGTGGAAGACAAACTTCCTGTTGCTGATATCAAGGTTGAGGATGGCATTGACTCAACAACTGAGGTTAAGGAAAAAGTCAAGGCCAGGTCCAAGGAAGAAGTACCAGTAGAACCCAGTTTTGGTAATCAAACAAGTACTGGTATAAAACAAGAAGTACTTTCAGAGGTGGATTTAGATTCTGATGAAAAACAAGATAAAAGTTCAGATGAGGAAGAGGATACCAAGAAGACAGTAGAGGAAATGAAAAGGAAAGAAAGAATGGAGAGAAAGATGAAGAAGAAAATGAAGAAAGCTAAGAGGAAACAGAAGAAGGCAGAGAAAAAGGCAAAGAAAAAAGCAAAAAAGGAAATGAAAAGAAAGGAGAGAGACAGGGAAAGAGAAATGGATGAAGGAAGGGGAAACAGTGACTCAGATGCTGAAAGTGAACAGATGCTTGACACACCAAGAAAAGGGAAGAGAGAAAAGAGAAGTGAATCCAGGGAGCTGAGCAGAGAGAGAGAGACTGACAGAGGAAATTTATGCGAGGTAAAAAGAAATGAAAAGAGAGAAGGAACTCTTGATCAGAAAGTAATGAGGGGAGTAAGTATTAGAGAGAGTTCAGAGAAAGATAAAGGTAGTGAAAAAGAAAGAGAGACCGATAAAAACAAGTCAAGAGTATATAAAGAAAAGTATGACTCCAGGGGTCTAAGAGATAGAGAAGAAAGTGATAGTGATACAAAGGAATGGGAGAGAAAGGAGGAACAAGAAACTGAAAAGGCTTGCAGATGGCCCGAGAAAAGGAAGCATTATGAGGGAGGTAAAGATTACAAGAAAAAAGAAATAAAGCCTGAAGATGTGCTTGAATCTGGAGACAGAAAGTTTGAGAGAACCTACAAAGATTCAGTAAGTGACACTAAAGCAAAAGGGAAAATCCATACATTTGAGGACTCTGAAGACAGCCCAACATACACTCCACCAAGGAGAGGTAGTAGTGATGAGAGTGAAGACAAACCGGCAAATAGGCATGGGCATGATAGTGATCGTAGTGTTTCTCCAGATGACTGGAAAAGAAAGGATGAGCCACCATCCCCTCTGTCCTCTGAGGCCAGTGTTGATTCTCTTGACAGGACGAGCAGGAGGAAATTGAAATCAAAAGGTCATAGAAAAAGAGGGAAGAGTTGGGTTGAAGAAGAGCAGAATTCAGACACTAATCAGTCATGGAGATCTCACGATTCATCATCTCCTGAGTATTATTCATCAAAGTTGTCAGAAAAAGACTCCAGAAAGACTGATTCTGCAAAGTATGTGCCAAGTGACACCTCTGGATATTGTGACTTGAGTCGCTCATCCAGTCCAGTGTCTGAACCAGATTTAGCCAAAACTTCAACTGCAGAATCTAGTGAGGATGACAATGAGGATTATAAGAGTGACAAGTTGTATGAGAAGAGAGTGGATACATCAGAGGTTATCAGTTTCTCCCTGGATGACATCCCATACCCACCAGCTGGCTGTCCACCAAGCAAAAATGAGGAGAGTCAAAGCAGGGTTCGCAGGGAAAGTGAGAGGTACAGCCCCTCTAACATGTCCATGTCTCCGAGCCCATCATCATCATCGCCGTCACCAAATCAGTCACCGGCTCGCTCACTGTCCTCATCGCCAGCACTTCAGATTCCTTTGCCTCCAACGTCTGTCCAGAACATCCCTATCCCACCACTTCCAGGATCACTTCCAAAGGGCCCTCCTCTGCCACTGCCTGATCTCAAGAAGATTCCCATTCCTCCTTCAGGAATACCCCTTCCATCAGTTAAGCCACCAGTACCTCAGGCAAGAACAATCTCAAGTTCACAGCAGGCAAGCCATATGCCAGTTGGACCTCCAGTAGTACCCAAAGGGCAAGTACCTTTACCCATTCCTCCACCCATGCCACAGAATACTTCTTCCATGGGATCGGTCCACACGAGGCTTCCTGCCACACAGGCTGTTGCTCCACCATCAAAGTTGCCTTTTACACCTGGGGGACCAACCCTTCTAACTCCAGCACATGTTCCTATGTCTGTGCCTCCCCCTTCCATTCTTCCTCTCTCGGTACCTCCACCTACACCATTATCAGTTCCTCCACCTACAGGTGTCCTACCACCTTTGCCTTTACCAAAGGAGTCACTGCCAGATAAAGCAAAACTGACGTCCAGACCATCATCTCAGGACCAGTCCATTCCTCCTGTAGCTTTATTATCTCCCACGTCAGTTCCCCTGCCAAGCTCAGCATTAAACCTAGATAATGAATTTAGTCAGAAAAAAGCAAATGAGGAAGCCAGTTCAGTAAAAAGTTCTAAGAATGAATCTGATGACACCACTGGAATGGTTTCAACACAGTGGGTGGAAAAGAACTGTGACCTTGAAGCTTCAGAGGATGATAATAGTAAAGATATGAGTAAGAATTCTCGTTCCATACCAATTACATTTAGGCTAGGAGGATCAAAACAAGGCAGTCTTAAACGATTGCAGAAGGGTCCATTATTACCGGAATTCATTCATGAAGAAGAAGAAGAGGGCCTTCGAGGAAAGCCTGTTGATGAAGATGACGATGATCAGTCATCAGAGTTAGCAGAGACATCTGATGTATTTGATGCACAGAAGGTCATGCCAACATCATCAAGGTCATGGGAATCTTCAAAGGATGAAATGCAAGAAGCAAAAGGCTTAAAAGAGGAAAGCCCTCAGAGCCTGCCAGTGTCTAAGGGGCGAACGAGGAGATCAAGATCGAGATCTCCACGAAGGATCAGATCTTCGCAGAGAAGCAGATCACCACAGAGACGGAGATCACCATCAAGGAGCAGTTCTGTCCAGAGGGAAAGATCACCAATGAGGGGCCACTCAAGAGAGAGAAGTAAATCCCCAAGGATGAGCAGAACACCATTAAAGAACCGTTCTCCAAGGAGGAGCCGCACTCCTTTACAGAGTAGGTCCCCTCAGAGAAGCAAGTCTCCAAAAAGAAGTAGATCTCCAAGAAGATCTAGGGACTCAAGATCACGTAGTTGGTCCCCAAGGAAGCTTGGAAACCGTAGATCTCCAGACAGAAAAAGAAAAATGTCACCCGAGTTTAAGAGGCAAAGAAGTCCTGAAAGAAACAAGAGAATGGAGGCATTTAGTCCACGAAGGTCGGTACGTCCAAATAGGGAAGCAAAGTCCCCAGTCCGTGTCTTGGCCCCTCGACAGCCAAGGGATAGACGGTCTCCTAAGCGATATCGCAGTCCAAGTCCCTCCCCTGTAAGAGAAGATAGAATAGGATCACATTTTGCTAGCCCTGATTCAAGACATAGTAGGAGTCCAGAGAAAAGAATACCGACCGTACACCATGGACCAAGAACTCCAGATAGGTCAGAGAAGACAGAATCTGTCCGGTCACCGCAACATGGTTATCAGAGTGATCTTGGAAGAGAGAGGACAGCAAAACGAACTCTAGAACGATCACAGTCTCCAGAATTGCACGATGAACGTAGAGGATATTCTCAGGGTCGATTAGGCAGACAGGATTATAGAGCCAGCTGCAGTCCAGATTCAAGAAGTCCAGATGGCAGGATTGTACACCATCATAGTCCTGTCCGCAGAAGTCCTTCATGGAGCCCAGCAAGGCAGCATGGCCAGAGCCCCGGTTGGCGAAGTCCTACAAGACAACGTGCTCAGAGTCCAGGTTGGAGAAGTCCCCATTACAGGAGCCCAGAACGTCGGTCTCATTATTCACCCGGAAGAGACCAGCACAGTCCTGTTCATCGCTGGAGCCCACATAGGTCTCCAGGAAGATCACCACGAAGGTCCCCTCATCACAGAGCTTCTCCTGGTTCCCCTCTTTGGAGATCCCCTATACGTAGGTCACCAGGAAGTAGGTCACCAATGAGAAGGTCTCCTATTCGCCGATCCTCACCAAGGCGTTCTCCTCTACGCAGGTCTCCCTTGAGAAGGTCTCCTCTCCGAAGGTCACCTCATAGAAGATCACCTGGATGTAGGTCACCTCTAAGAAGATCACCTCTGCAGAGGTCACCCCTGCGGCGATCGCCAAGGAGGTCTCCAAGAAGGTCTCCTCGAAGATCACCACGAAGGTCACCCATT